ATTTTTTACACAAATGAAATATTTCATAAAAGTTTCATGGAATTTTAAAACTCTATTAGTATGACATGATTGGAAACGTAATAGGCTAATAATATGACTTTAAGAAATAATGAGTAGGATTTTTCACTCTCGGTAGACTATATTGGGAAAGGAAATTCCGTTCCCCTGAATCAACTATTTTGATCTCTGGAGGCGTTTGTAAAGGAAGGATATTATAAATACTTAACACATTATTTCATGTAAATATTATATGGTAAATTATCAGAATATCTAATAGGTTAACTAATGAATAATTATCTTTGCTAATCTTTATATTTATTATAATATTACCTATATTTTTGTATTAATCAATTGCCGGTCTGTTGTTATATACGATTTTAAAGGGTTTTTTTTATCATTTACTAATAATATAATTATTGTAGACTCATTTTTAAATCCACTAAAACGTTACATGTTTATGTTTTAAAGGTAACAATATATTATTCGTTGGTATTTATGGACCCAAAGGACCGTGTGAAGAGATATTTATCAAACACATGAAACAGAACAACTACCAAGTGAGCTATATCGTCCGAGAACGTGGCGAATATATTCTACTGGTCAAGTGGGGCGATGATCACATACCCGGCTCACCATTCAAAATCGATACCTAAATCTATTGAAAAATAAAAAATAAAAACATTGAAAAAAAAATTATAATAATAAAAAATCCAATGGTTCGAAGCTAGAAGACATCGATTTAATCAATCTAGGGTGAACAGGTGGACTTATATCATTATCATTTCCATGATCTAAAATATAGAAGAAACTTGCAACAGGTGTCCGTCTGTCGGGATATAAAGACAGCTCTACCAGATTCATACTGTAATTATTTATTATTTCTCGCTTCCGACTTTATATTATTGTCATTTACTAGTAATACTTACTACACAGGAAAAAAACAGTTTCACTTTTAGCTAATAATTATTTACGTTTATTCGAATTTTGAATCTTACATTGTTTATTTTATATACTACTCATCGTGACTATGTATTACATACATTTTATAATGTTCGTTAGTCAGAATATTAATCATTTAATTTATTTTTATTATATTACTATTATTATTATTATTATTCAACATTGTAATAAGTTAGTGTTCAACGAAACGTTCCGTAAAATGTAATATTGATTTGCCTGAAACATAATTATCTAATATTATATATAGGTACCTACTTCGAAATAGTCAATAGCGTTGGTCGTCTAACTAATTATTAAACAACGTTCAGTGTGGTATAAGGTATACATAACTTTTGGCTAACCACTTCGTATCTTCTTTATTTGTACTGATTCAATATGATTTTACACAATATACATTAATATTATATCTAAATATATTTATGCAAAACGGGATGCCTGTAAATAAAGATTCTATATCATTACGTTACATGCCGTATTATTGTGTCAGTGTATAGCACTGCATCTCAACCTTTTTTTTTTACATCGACACCCTAATATAGATAAAAATAGCAACACATGGATTTTTGAAACATTAACAGTACTATATAAATCTAGGTATAATGTAAATTGATGATGCGACTACATATTATCCTCATCACAATTATTGTTTTCTCAGCTGTGGTATAACGTTATAAAGCCACAATATAATGTCATATATTTATACTTTGAACATTAAAAATAAAAAAAAAACAGTAGTGTGTGTCCAAAATAATTGTTTACACACTACTGTGACTAGATGATACAACGGTTGAGAACCACTGATGTATAGTACACTGTACTCCGACCCACGAGAAAAGTATATAATCAAACACTTGCCTCCTAAAATGTGACCAGCTCTTATTGACCTGACAATTTTAAAATCTATTTTAAATATCGATACAAATAGTGAAAAACCACATAAAAAATCAAACGTGAAATCAAAATCAAAATGTTTTAAAAATAATATATTAGATCGAAGAAAATGTATCGATAATTTATACGTCAATAATAATGATGTTATGATTTTATTTTTGTTTAAAAATTGCCTTAAAAGTTCTTAAAAGTTCGCTTGCATAGGTTCGATTCACGTCTAACTATAAAATGTATGGAACGCATGATCGACGAGGGGTTTCTCGAAGTTAGAAACTAAAATTATAAAACTGTAAAATTTATGTTCTAAATCGAAAAAAAAGAAATATTATGTTAAAAATCATAAAATAAATAAATTTCTATTGTTCGACAACTAAAATACCATAAAATTATACATTTAATATATTATTTTGAATTTAAATGAGAAAAAAACAAATATTGATAAGTAAAATAGAAAACTTTTGTTTCGATTCCAAGTCCTGCATTCGACATACCAACAACGTTTACTTCTTTCTTGGGCCGGATGCCCAAGATTGAGCCTTGTATTAAATTTTCAAGTATTTTTACTCACCAAATAAAGTTTTATTGACATTCATAGAAAAAAAAAACTAATAAAATTGGAAACTGAAAATGTCCCTAAACAGTTCAAAACAAATGAAAATATTTTCAAAATGTTATCGTGTATAGAAAATGCAAATATAAACAACCTTTAATAATGTCATGTTTCTACGGTTATTTGTTTTAAAGTTACACCAAAAGCCAAAATCGATTTGGTCAAAAACCAATTTTGAGTAAAAATTCCCGTTTTTACCTTAATTTTTATTTTGTTTTTCCGTTCGCTTTTGAAATCTTTTGGGAATTTTAAATTTGGACCTCCCAAAAGTACCAACTAGTTTCACTTTCCCATCGAACAAGATACTGAAGTTGAAGCATTATTTCTTCAACTAATCGTGTACACGGACACAAAAAAAAACCACACAGAGTATAGTATAATAATATGTAAATATTCAGATACAAAAATTATATCTTTTATTGTTTCGATACATACTGTTATGATATTATTTTTCTAGTATTATTACGATACGAGAACTAAATGTTAAGACGTACATGTGATACCATCTGATTTTTAAAAAAAAACAGTGTTAGTCTGCATAAGTACCTACATATTAATATATGTTTATAGATATTTGACGATACAATAATACTTTATTGTACATATATATTATGTACTACTAACTAGGTAAACAACCAGTGTCATATAAATATAAACAAACTATAATAAGGCCGACGGTATGACCGAGTGGACTAAGGCGTCGATTGCGACGTGCACAGTTGCCAGTTCGAATCTCGGCCTCGGGTGGCACTTCTCTTCATGCCGTCATGGTGTCTGGAGAGAGTGGTCGCCATTCCCTTCACAATTGCTAATAATTTATCGAATAACTATGTTAGTTTCAATGTTTTCATGCGAATGCGTACCTGATTTTAGTAAAAAAACATGTGGTCAACGCCAATTGTAAATAATTTTGCTATATACGACTTTATAATGCATTTCAATCCGAATTTTCAGGATTTCAGCTCAGTATAATTAGAATAGGTACTTAGACTTATTTTTCACTAATAATATAAATTTTTTCTTTGACTAAACTAAATATCACTGAAATTTGAATATATTTCCCATTATTTTTAATCACGATATTTCCTGGACATAGACAATATATACAACATGCGTACACATGGACAATTAATCGGTACACAATAATGATTAGATATGGTTTTGCAGATTTAATAGTTTAATTTCAATATGGGTTAAGGGTTTACACGGATGTAGCAATATGTTAATATTTTTATTGTTGTAATTTTTTCGACCGTGCAGAAATACGGTGCATGTGGAGCCACTGATTCACAAAATATCGTTATTCATGTGGAGTTACCGTGCTATGGGTTAGTATGTATAATGCTGTTAAGTGTTAAGTCGACTCTTAGTGGCTATTGTTGAAGGGGCAATATTTAGGCAAATTTATCATCTCGTCGTTGCCACCCACGGTCGTTGAGTTAGTCGTATAAATGGTTATTAATTATGTGAGTGTGGAGTCCTTATTTCCTTATCATTTAGCTATCAGTACATCTGTGGAATTACGAAGCCACTACATTATATAGCACACTTACGCACAATCACAATATTTCATCAAAAATATTTTTTGCTTAAAAGAAATTGAACTCATAAGCTTCTATTCTAATTTCTATGATTTACACTAGATATTTTTAAAAACTTATGTATTAGGGTTCCAAACGAAATTACTTAATTTCTTAAAAGGAATATGTGGGTAGGTTTGTCCACTCTTTAAACTTTAAAGTTTAAAGGGCCATTGGGAAAACAAATTTAAAAGTTTTTTCTACAAAACATATAAAAGATGCTAACATAAGTGTTCAAATT